GTATGGCAGCCATATGTTGTGGAATGCTTATTGAATAAATGTATTAATAATAATGGCTTTAGCTTAATATCAGTCCTAAGCTATACTGCTCTGGAAGACACTTGAAGTCACTGAAATATATATGTAAGGTAAATTCATGTTCAAATATTTATCAAATTTTGTGATATACCAGTTCAAAAATGAAAGAAAGGGGAGGGACAGTATTGTTCCATAGTGGGTAAAGCCACCACCTGCAATGCCTTCACCCCTTTTGGGTGCTGCTTTGTGTCCCAATTGCTAATGGCCTGAGAAAAGCATTGGATAATGCCCCAGGTGTTTGGGCCCCTTCTACCCATGTTGGAGACATGGAGGAAGCTCAGGGCTCCTGGTTTCAGCCTGGACAGGCCCTGGCCATTGGAGCCATCTGGGGAGTGAATGAGCAGACAAGCGCACGTGCTCTCTCTCCCTCTCTCTCTCTCTCTTTAAATCTAACCTTCAAATAGATTAATTAATTAACCTTTAAAAAATAAACATGAGAGACAGACTTTGTTATTGATGTTGAAGAAAACACTATTTTGTTATTGTTGATTTTTTTCTTTTGTCAATTTTCCCATTTCCTAAGTTTTTTGCTGTTATTGTTTTGCTTGTATTTCTGTTATAGGGCAGACAGTCAGTAAATGAAGAGAAAATTAAGGTCTCATATGGGATGAATTACTTTAGGGGATAGCAATATTCTATCTCTAGAGCACACCAACCTCCTAAGGGAAGGATCTTAAACATTATAAACTCGATGTCAGTTCTGGTCCTTGCTGGCCTGAGACTCACATTGTGGCCCATGCAAGCATTTCAGCATTGTTTTCCAAAGTTCAGATTTGTGTGAGTATTTTAGCACCAAATATACGTAGTGTTTAGATATCCACCATGCCATGAATAGATACCTGGATCCTTACTCTAACAGAAGTAATCAAGATAGGTGATTATTATGAGAGATTAAATATGCAGGTAACAGTGCTTACTAATAAGCAATGAAGACAGTGAGGATCAAAGTATAAATAATTGTGCTGATGCACTAAAGAATATGTGTCCTGGCTTTTGTCCCTTTTCACATGACACTGCCAAGGTGGGATGGGAACAACAGAAGCTTCTTGAATGTGAGAGAGACAGTATTGAACAGAAACTGTATAATGTCTCTTAACCACTGAAGCCATGGGCTCATATCATCCTTTAATTTACCAAGTCCTTGGTAAAGCTGTTTAACTTCATAGAGTGTAAAAATTGTAGGCATAAAACCTCTTTTTGTTGGAGTTGCTTTTGACAATTACATGAGATAGTGCAAGCTTTATCATGGTAAGTCCTCAGTGCCACAGGGTTCTTAATCCAGTAATGCTAGCTAGTAGAACTGCTGATGTTTTAAATATAACCCTATAGATTATCGTTTCAGACTGGCTTCAAAGCATTAGGCAAGTGCTGTAATTATGAGATCTTGTAGAGGCAATTTGTTTCTTTCTTTCTGTTTACACCTGGTATGTCATGAATATTATGGGGTGGGAATGTTTTGGATTGCTGTTGTTGTTTTTACAGCTCTAAGCCTAGGAACATTGCTTCACAAATAATGTATATGATGTTTCTTGCGTTTCAATTGAATAAATCTATAATTCTTTGAGCAAAATAATTTAAAGAACAATCCTCAATGACTCCTGGTTTCTCTTCATCATTTACAGATGTAGAAATGAAAAGCCAGGACAGACATTCCAATTGCATCAGCACAATTGTTTACATTTTGTCTCCTCACCATCTTCATTGCTCTTCATTAAGTATCCAATATTTATAAGTTACTGCTCTACAAGTGTAGCAGAGGCTTATTTTTTTTTTATCTTGTACCATTACGTTTGCATTTATGTTACAACCATGATCATTAATAGCTGATTTTAAGTATCTTAGAAGTCAGAGACTTTGCCCTGTTACTTATATACATGTGACACAAAATCTCATGTTGGGGGTAAGTACACTCCATGGATATTTCCCTATTATTTTTATTGAAAATACTTTAGATTTGCTGTAGCTTCACTAAACAATAGAAAAAATGCATTCGGTTTGTATCCTTCTTTTCAGCACATCTATCATAAACTTTAGTATATCATAATGAAGAAAATTCCCAAATCCTACAGCTGAGAGTTTGCTGTTATTAATATTTAGTGTAACTTAATATAAATTCAATGTAATTCTCATAAACTAGCTTGTGCAAAGATGCCTTTCTCCCAGTAGTGGCATAATGCCAAATATCTAGAAGCAGTGCTATGTGGTAATTAAAGATAAACTTGTACTGGACCTAACCCCACTGCTTGTTAATATTGAGATATGTCTAAGAGATTTGACCTTCCTGTGGTTTGCTTTTATCAGCTATACAATGGAACATGACCAGGTAAATAGTAAGTAATCAAACCATGTGAAGTACTTTTAAACCACGTGTATTCTGATTCAACATACAACATATTATAAAATTTGTAAAAATTACCTAAAATGCTAAAATATTTTGCTAATTGCTCCGCTCATGAAAAGAATGATAATAATTTATTTATCCAATCCAATGTATCTAAATTATACTCTATCACCACTGTATTTGAAACATTTTATGGAAATATAGTACATATACCAAGAAATGCACATAAGTATACAGATAAAAGAGACTTTTGTCATCTGGTCAAACTCATAACCAATACCCAAATTAAGAACAAAGTGTTACTAGTACCCCAAGACTCCTCACTATTCCTTTCATCTCAATTTCTCAATATAAATACCAGAAATAAGAGAAAACATGTGATATTCGACTTTTTGGGTCAGGCTTATTTCACTGAGTATAATGAGCTCCAGTTGCCCATCTTTCTGCCTTCAAACAGGTTCAGTCTAAGGAAGATTTCCAGTCAGTTCAAAACGTATACTCACAAACTCTTTTTCTCCTCAGCTTATATCTATTCACTTCCTTAGTACACAGCTGACTTAAACCTTCAGGTGCTTTGCCTTTCACCAGTATCAGAAAGCTTCGAACTCAAACATTTACTTGATATTAGCAAATCAAGCTTATTAGTAGGACACTTCTAATCTTTGTGAATTGCATGGTACAGATGGGGTGATATAATTATTTGCCTATGGTTCCCAGATGATTGTGGAACCAAGTATGGTCCTCAAATTGAAAAGCAGGTGCATGTAAGCAGCCAGAGAGGAATTTAACATTACCTGACAGCCCTTTCATACCTGGCATTTTCCTGGGAAAGAGAGTGGTTGCAATTTTAAATAGCCAGGAGACACGTTGTATTTCTGACATTATGAGTTAATTAATTCTGAAAGAATCTGTAAAACAATTGAAAGCATCCTAATGCAACAAAAATCAAACCAAAATCTTTAAAATATTTATGTTTTCTCTTTAAAAATTGAACTATGCTTGAAATTTCTAAGCATTTATTTTATGTTGAAAATGTAAATGCAGATAATTTTTTACAACTTGCTAAATTTTAATTTCAGTTGCATTTTTCAAGAATTTATTTTTCTGCAAACACATACAAGTATAATGTATTATGATTTATATTGATCTCCTAACAATACAAGTCAGACACAAACACAAACTATCTGGAAACTATAGGTTAATTTTTAAAAATGTATCGTCCTTTGAATCCCATTCTCTTAAATTGTCAGAGGCTGTAATCACAAGACGATACAAACAACTGGGAATGAAAAATGAAAGAAAAGTCAAAATATATGATAATTTTTATTAGGCAAGTGTTTAGGGAAACTATAGCTGTACAAGAGAGTAAATGTTTGATTTTGCTTCTTTTATATTAGAATATAACTTAAAATTCATCCTTATATATTTAAAAACCTTTTACGGCATTTTGATTGATGAAAATGGTATAATTCAAGTTAATATGTAATTTATGATTCTTTGAAATTTAAGAAGATAAAAACTTAATTAAAATGGGATTATTGGGGCTGGCAATTGGTGCAGAATTCAACATGCCACTTGGGATGCCCACATTGCATATCATATCATTGCCTCCACTACCCTTCTGATCCAGCTTTCAGCAATGTGTACTGTGAATAGCAGAAGATGCTAACTCAGTATTTGGGGTCCCACCACCGATGTGGGAGACCTGGGTTGAATTCTGTGCTCCTTGTCTTGGACTGACTGCCTCCCCCATGTTGCTGTACTTCAGGAGTGAGTCATTAGATAAAAGATATCTACAGCTATATCTATATCTATATCTATATCTATATCTAGCTCTACCTATAGTTCTAGGTCTCTTCTTTCTTTATCTCTTTAAAATAAATTTTAAAATTAAAAAATTAATTGGATTATACATTATTTGGAGGAATCACAGATGTATTTTGTATTTCTCCATGTATGCTTTATTTAAGGAATTAGATGTGTATTTAAAATAGCATGGTAATTGCTGGCGCCATGGCTCAATAGGCTAATCCTCTGCCTTGCGGCGCCGGCACACCGGGTTCTAGTCCCGGTCGGGGCGCTGGATTCTGTCCCGGTTGCCCCTCTTCCAGGCCAGCTCTCTGCTATGGCCCGGGAGTGCAGTGGAGGATGGCCCAAGTGCTTGGGCCCTGCACTGGCATGGGAGACCAGGAGAAGCACCTGGCTCCTGGCTTCGGATCAGCGCGGTGCACCGGCTGCAGCGCAATGGCCACGGCGGCCATTGGAGGGTGAACCAACGGCAAAGGAAGACCTTTCTCTCTGTCACTCTCTCTCTCACTGTCCACTCTGCCTGTCAAAAAAAAAAAAAAAAAAAAAGGCATGGTAATTCAATTCACACACACACAAAAAAAGTATCTTAAAATGGCAAATAAGCAAGCAGCCTCTTAAGAAAATCAGACTAAAGTTTAGTAGTAGAGGAATGCAGCAAATAATATTATTTTACGAAATATCTTCCTGGATCATCTTGCACAATGAATGCTACAGTTTTGTATTGTTTCTGATTAGATTTGAAGATTGAAGGGATTTGCCATTATTGCTCATTATGCCACTTACCAATGGCACCTACTTCAAGCCATCTGTCTTCACACTAACTGGAATTCCTGGCCTTGAATCAGTGCAACACTGGATTGGGATCCCGTTCTTCATCTCTTTTGTCCTGGCCATTATTGGAAATGGGCTGCTCATCATCATCGTTCGCACTGAGCGTGCTCTCCATGAGCCCATGTTTATCTTTTTAGCTGTGTTGGCCACTACTGATCTAGGCCTGACCTTGTGTATTACCCCTAAAATGCTGGCAATATTTTGGCTGCAGTCAAGAGAGATTTACTTTGACTCCTGTCTGACCCAGATGTATTTTACTCATACTTTCCAGTGCATGGAGTCTGGTATGCTTTTGGCCATGGCCTTTGACAGATATGTGGCTATCTGTGAGCCCCTGAGGCATTCTGCGATTCTCACAAAGAAGGCGCTGGTCAGCATCGTCATGGTAGTGACTCTCCGGGCATCTGTCGTCATCACCATGTGTCCACTGCTGGTCAAGTTGCGCCTAGAGCATTTCCGAACCACAGTCATCACTCATTCTTACTGTGAGCACATGGCTGTGGTAAAGCTGGCTGCAGACAATGTCAGAGCCAATAAAGTGTATGGGCTATTTGTGGCTTTCTCAGTCCTTGGATTTGATGTGATCTTCATTTTCTTGTCTTACGCCTTTATCTTCCAGGCTGTTTTTAAATTGCCCCAGAAGGAGGCACGGTTCAAGGCATTCAACACATGCACAGCCCACATCTTTGTCTTTCTCCAATTCTATATCCTCACGTTTTTTACATCCTTCATACACAGATTTGGCTTCAATGTTGCTCCTTATGTGCACATTCTACTGTCCAACCTTTACCTGCTTCTTCCACCCCTGCTCAACCCCATCGTCTATGGAGTGAAGACGAAACAGATCAGAGAGGGAGTTCTCAAAATGCTCACTCCCAAGAGTTAAACCGACAGGCCCTCCAACTCCTCATGCACGCTTCATAATAGTATGCGTAGCTGTTGTCATGCAGAGTTGTACAGTGATAATTTTCACAATCTTTTCATTTCCACAGGAAGGAATATATTTTATAAATAAAATTACACGTGTTCAAAGGCAATTTTATAAATTTTTCTCCAAAACTGATCATGATTTCAATGAAACTTTAATTTACAGCTTTTATTATGCGCTTAGATATATTCTACCCCTGAAGTAGCATCAATTTGCATAGTTTTATTCTCAATTTTATGCTTTCTTTTCTTTTTTTTTTTTTTTTCTTTTAGAGTGGGACAGGCAGAGTTAGAGAGAGAGAGACAGAGAGAAAGGTCTTCCTTTGCCGTTGGTTCACCCTCCAATGGCCGTCGCTGCAGCCGGCGCACCGTGCTGATCCGATGGCAGGAGCCAGGATCCAGGTGCTTTTCCTGGTCTCCCATGGGGTGCAGGGCCCAAGCACCTGGGCCATCCTCCACTGCACTCCCTGGCCATAGCAGAGAGCTGGCCTGGAAGAGGGGCAACCGGGACAGAATCCGGCGCCCCAACCGGGACTAGAACCCGGTGTGCCGGCGCCGCAAGGTGGAGGATTAGCCTATTGAGCCACGGCGCCGGCCTTCAATTTTATGCTTTTCATAAGCTATGACTGTTACGAGGCTTCTCCCACTATCTACCACTAGATTCTAATGTATAGATGCACAGTGAAATTTATATTTTAATTATTTAAAAATTCCCATTTCTGTATATCCCCATTAATGTGAACTAGAGGATGGAAGATTAATATCTCTCTCTCTCTCTCTCTCTCTCTCTGTAACTTTGCCTCTCCAAATAAATAAGAATCTTTTTTAAAAAATAGGCATTATTCTCCATCTTAATATTTGACACTTCCAAGTTTGAGGGCCAGGAAAAGGTAATGAGTTCAATTTTGCCATGTTGTTTTGAGATTGTGGCAGACTACACAAGTACATATTTAAATTAAGCCATATGAATTCAAATGTGAACCTCTGAGGATAGGGAGTTGGTTTCTGAACCGTATATGTAGAGATTTAACTTGAATATGTGTAAATAAGTACGGTGAGCTAAAGTCTAAAACATCAAAAATCAAACCTGAAAAAAAGAATTTATATTTGTCTGAGGATTCATAGCTCAATCTATGTTCTAAAATGGGTGCTCCATTTTGCATTCATTGAAGCAATGTCTAATGGATCCAATTTTGTCACATCTCACATCACTTGTTGTAATGTACATTGTTTATTACCATAGTACTACTGGAAAGTAAAGTGGTACCATTGTACTTTGGATTTGAATTTGCATGATAAGTAATTATGTTGAGGACCTATTCATGTGTTTATTGGTAATTTACTCATCTTTCTTAGAGAAAAAAAATACTATTAAAGTCCCTCACCTATTATTAATGGAGTTAATTAGCTTTTTATTATTTTATTATAAGAAATCTTTGTATATTATAGATATGATTATTCTAACTGTCATTTGGGTCATAAACATTTTATTCCATTCAGTGAGGTGTACCTTCACTTTCTTAATATTATTTGCATAAGTTTAAAATTTCAATGTAGTCTTTTTAATGAATTTTTCTATAATTGCTTGTGTTTTTCTATCATACTAAGTAACCATCACCAATTGCAAAGCCTTGAATATTTACTTCAATGTTTTCTATTGAGAGTTTTACAATTAAGCAAAAGAAATCAAAGGCAGACAAGTAAGGAAGTAATAAGTAAAATTATCCCTATTTGCAGATGACATGATTCTATATAGGGAGAAACCTAAAGACTACCAATAACTGATGAATAAATTATATAAAGTTCCAAGATACACAATCAGCATACAAAAACTGGTAGTATCCTTATATATTAATAACTAAATTTCTGAGAATGAGATTATAAGGGGGCTAGTACCATGACACAGAAGCTTAAAGCCCCGACCTGCAGCACCAACATCACATCTGGGCACCAGTTCAAGTCCCGGCTGCTTCACTTCTGATCCAGCGCTCTGCTAATACACCTGAGAAAGCAGTGGAAGATGGCCCAAGTGCTTGGGCCCCTGCATATATGTGGGAGACCTGAAAGAAGCTCTTGGCTCCTGGCTTCAGACTGGCTCAGATCTGGCCATTGCGATCATTTGGGGAGTGAACCAGTGGATGGAAGACCTCTCTGTCTCTCTCTCAATCTGTCTCTACTTCTCTCTGTAACTCTTTCAAATAATTAAAATAAATCTTAAAAAAGGGCATTATATAAAAGAGCAAACCAAATCCCAGTAACTACCAAATAATATCTTGCAATAATTTGAACAAAGAACGTGAAAGATCACTAAATGAAAAATTAAAAAAAATAATGAGGTCGCCCTAAATGGAAGATCTCTGCGAGTGAGATCCCAGTGGAAAGAATGGGGCCATCAAAGAAGGAGGTACCTTTCTCTGAAGGGAGGAGAGAACTTCCACTTTGACTATGACCCTGTCGGAATAAGATCGAAGTTGGCAAACTCAAAAGGCTTCCATAGCCTTGGCAACGCATGACTAGAGCCTAGGGAGATTACCGACGCCATAAACAAGTGTGTCAAATTGTTAAGTCAACAACAGGAGTCACTGTGTACTTACTTCTCATGTGGGATCTGTCCTTAATGTGTTGTCCAATGTGAAGTAATGCTATAACTAGTACTGAAACAGTATTTTACACTTTGTGTTTCTGTGTGGGTGCAAACTGATGAAATCTTTACTTAATATATAATAAATCAATCTTCTGTATATAAAGATAATTGAAAATGAATCTTGACGTGAATGGAATGGGAGAGGGAGTGGGAGATGGGAGGGGTGTGAGTGGGAGGGAACTTATTGGGGGGGAAGCCATTGTAATCCATTAACTGTACTTCGAAAATTTATATTTACTAAATAAAAAATAATGAAAGAACTTGAGAATGACACAAAAAATGAAACACTTTCTGTGGTGGAATGAGAAGGCCATGCCAAGATGGTGCTGGCAAGTAAGCATCTGTTACTCAGGAACTGGTTTCAGAACCCACCTGGCAACAGGCAGTGATTGGTTACAGCATCAACTGCCCCTTGACTGGATTGGCTGCCTTGACTATATAAGCTGCTGCTTCTATTGAAATAAATGAGTCTGCAAGCTGCTCACCTCTAGCCTGCTTTCACCTGACTACTGGTGTCTGTGTCGTGATTCTGTGCCTCTTGTCCCCACCATGCTTCTCCTCCCAGAACAAATCCATAGGAACATCTTTCTGTATCAATATTACAAAAATGTCCATACTAATCAAAGCAACTACAGGTCCATTACAATCCTTAAAATCATTGACATTCTTCACAGAACTAGAAAAAATAATCTTAGTTTTGTAAAAAAATTAATTTAGTTTTATACTTTTTTTTCCATAATAGTTTTAAAGGAGAGGCAGAGAGAGAGAGAGGTCTTCCATCTGCTGGTTCACTCTCCAATTGGCCAGAAAGGCCATAGCTGCACCGATCCAAAGCAAGGGGCCAGGAGCTTCTTCCAGGTCTTCTACGTGGGTGCAGGGGCCCAAGGACTTGGGCCATCTTCTACTGCTTTCCCAGGCCATAGCAGAGAGCTGGATCAGAAGTGGAGCAGCAGGGACCCAAATAGGCACTGAAATGGAATGCCAGCACTGCAGGAGGTAGCTTTACCCAATAAGCCACAGTGCTGGCCCCTCCTGTATTTTTTTAATATAGACCTTTTTTCCGTTAAAATATTTATTTATTTGAAAGTCAGAGTTACACAGAGAGAGAAGAGGCAGCAAGAGAGAGTGGTCTTCCATCCGCTGGTTCACTCCATAAGTGGCTGCAACAACTGGAGCTGTGCTGATCCAAAGCCAGGAGCTGGGAGCCTCTTCCTAGTCTCCCATATGGGTGTAGGGGCCCAAGGACTTGGGCCATTTTCCACTGCTTTCCCAGGCCATAGCAGAGAGCAGCTGGAACTCAAATCGGCACCCATATGGAATGCTGACACTGAAAGTGTAGGCTTTACCCACTATGCCACTGCGCTGGCCCCCAGAACCCTTTTTAACCTTCCCATCCTTCACACTCTCTAGTAATTAACATTATTTGTTCAGATTGAGTTTATTTTTTAATTCACTGTTAACTCTTACATATGAAGGAAGCATGGTATTTTTCTTTCTGTATCTGGCTTATTTCGCTCTACATAATGTCCTCCATTTGCTGCAAGTGACAGCATTTTATTCTTTTTTATAAATGAATTGTATTACATTCATTCATATGTATAATTTGAAAGTGGACACTTTTTGATTCCATATTTTGGCTACTTTGAACAACATGGCTACAAACATGTATGTTTTTCTTTGATAAAATAATTTCATGAAAATTCTAATGGAAGCACAAAAGACTTTAAATAGTCAAAGAAATCATGAACAAAAGGGATAAAGCTGGAGATATCACAATATCATATTTCAGGACTAATTACTGAGCTATTATAATAAAATGTGTTGTAACAAAATGAGCTATTGTAACAAAATGCATTGTAGAAAATGATATGTATATGCACCTAATTACAGGGCACCGGTTTATTTAAAAGATTTGTTAAGGGACTTAAAGGGAGACTTAGACCCCAATACAATAGTACTGGGGGACTTCAATACTCCACTCTCAGAAATAAACAGATCAACAGGACGGAAGATCAACAAAGAGACAGTAGGTTTAAATGACACTATAGCCCAAATGGAGCTAACAGATATCTACAGAACTTTCAATCCTACAGCTAAAGATTTTACATTCTTCTCAGCAGTACATGGAACCTTCTCTAGGACTGACCACATACTAGGCCATAAAGCAAGTCTCAGCAAATTCAAAAGAATTAGAATCATACCATGCAGCTTCTCAGACCATAAAGTAGTGAAGCTGGAAATTAGCCACTCAGGAATCCCTAGAGCATACGCAAACACATGGAGATTGAACAACATGCTCCTGAATGAACAATGGGTCATAGAAGAAATTAAAAGAGAAATCAAAAACTTTCTGGAAGTAAATGAGGATAACAGCACAACATACCAAAACTTATGGGATGCAGCAAAAGCAGTATTAAGAGGAAAGTTTATATCAATAGGTGCCTACATCAAGAAATTGGAAAGGCACCAAATAGATGAGCTTTCAATTCATCTCAAGGATCTAGAAAATCTGCAGCAAACCAGACCCAAATCTAGTAGGAGAAGAGAAATAATTAAAATCAGAAAAGAAATCAACAGGATTGAATCCAAAAAAAATTACAAAAAATCAGCCAAACGAGGAGCTGGTTTTTTGAAAAAATAAACAAAATTGACACCCCATTGGCCCAACTAACTAAAAAAAAAGAAGAGAAAAGACCCAAATCAATAAAATCAGAGATGAAAAAGGGAATGTAACAACAGACACCACAGAAATAAAAAGAATCATCAGAAATTACTACAAGGACTTGTATGCTTCTGTAAAGTGAAAGCATTTGAGATTGCTGTCAGAGGAAATAATTTTTTTAAATATTTTATTTAGTTATTTGACAAGTAGATTTACAGACAGTGAGAGGAAGAGATAGATAGGTCTTCCTTCCGTTCATTCACTCCCCAGATACCCGCAACGGCTGGAGCTGGGCCGATCCAAAGCCAGGAGCCAGGTGCTTCTTCCCAGTCTCCTGTGTGGGTACAGGGGCCCAAGTACTTGGGCCATCTTCTACTGCTTTCCCAGGCCATAGCAGAGAGCTGGATTGGAAGAGGAGCAGCCGGGACTGGAACCAGTGCCCATATGGGATGCAGGCATCCCAAGCGGAGGATTAACCTACTGCGCTATGGAGTTGACCCCAGGAAATAATGTTTTAGAAGATAAATCAAGAAAAGGTAGCTTCTCTAACAATAGTTGCTATTTTGTAGAATAAAAGAAATAATGTGGCAATAATTTGGATCATTCTTCATGAAGTCTACATGCCTCTTATCATAACGTGTGGTTTTAATACATCTGACTCATTCTTTTGCTGCTTAACTATCTGATTTCCCTTGGTTGATGCAGTCTTAGCAGACATATTGAAAATAAAGACCTCTGATCTGTCATGTGAAGGATATGCCCCTGCTGCCTATAACTTTTCATGCTGGACTCTGAAATGAAACACATGGATGCCAGGACCGAACTCAAAGTCAATCTGAGCTGCATCCTAAAACAGAACTGGCCGCGGTATATCACTGCAATTACCTGTTATTCTAACCTCTGTGTCGTATAGTATTTGATTAAGCAGGGATATTTAAGAAAATCTAGGTAAATACTTCTTTTTACTATTCATCCAGTTATAAAATATAATAAGGTGAGGATACAAAGAATGTTCTCAGAACAGTTTCAAGAAAATAGAAAATGTTTCTAAGTGGCAATTCTGTAAAACTTTACACATGACAGAAACTATAAATCTTTTCTACATTAATTTACTTTTTTGTTTATATGTTATTCTTGGTTGTATATATTTAGTCTCATATATTATTTCAAGCTTCATATAACTAGAAAACATAGGTATTAATATATCATTCAACACAAGTTCAAGCATATTTATAGGCTAAATTCCTAGATATAGAATTTCCAGGTGAAAGAAATTTTCATTTGTAAATCTGATTGATCAAGTTGTGTTTCCATTGAAGTGTACCAGGTCACTTTCTATTTTTTGTAACACTATTTTTGATTTATGTTTTAATTTTAACAATATTTAAGCATTTGCCACGTTTCATTCATATGAAAATATTAGATGCAGACACATAACTTTATCTTTTTCTGCAAAATGGATATTAATATTAAAACTGTGAGATTAATGGCAATGATCACAGAGTGAGGACAGTAGGGTTTATGGTCCAAAAGACAGGTCAGAGTGTTCGCAGTGGAACTTCTGGTAGGATGTGGAAGTTAAAGGAAATCAGACTGAAAAAAGGCAGCCGCTGACTTGATCTGAACAAAATGTTTCTTCCAAATAGCTTCAAGAATTGTACGCCTCATGTGGCTAGGTATATAGTTTAAAACTTCAGAAGAAAGCCAACAAAAATGCCTATACTGATTTCCCTAAACTCTTGTAGTTATATTTCATTTCATGGTTTATCAACAGTTTCTGCTTACTAAGATTCTGTGGACCATTTTATACAGCTTAACTATTATGTCTTCTATGAAATCTTCCCTGACCAACCCAGCGTAACATGATCTCTCACTACTATAAACCCATCACCCTAAATATATGACTTTCATTACTTTTCCATAAATTACTTCTGGAAGAGCTGAAAGTTTTTAAAAATTTTCAATACACGGTGCTGGCACTGTGGCTTAGTGGTTAAAGCCACCGCCTGCAGTGTTGGCATCCCATATGGGCACTGATTCGAGTCCTAGCTGTCCCACTTCCAATCCAGCTCTTTGCTATAGCTTGGGAAAGTGGTAGAAGATGGCCCAAGTTCTTGGGCCTCTGCATGCACGTGGGAGACCCAGAGGAAACTCCTAGCTCCTGGCTTCAGATCGGCGCAGCTCTGTCCATTATGGCCAACTGGGGAGTGAACCAGCGGATTGAAGACCTCTCTCTCTCTCTCTCTCTGCCTCTCCTTCTCTCTCTGTGAAACTCTGCATTCTAAATAAATAAATAAGTAAATCTTTGAAAACAAATTTTACAATACAGTTGTTTTTCAAGAAAAATACTTATGAAAATGGAATTTTATTTTTATATTCTAAAATGCAGTGTCTGGCAACTTAGTAGATATTAGCAGTATTCAGATTCTACTCATTTTCATGTCTCTAAATTCTGTACAGAAATTGATACTAATTGTAACATCTACAGAAATCTGAGATCAAGTCTAAAATATTGATCAGCATACTGCATATATGTAGATATATGAAAATTGTTAGAATTTACCAAAATAGTTGATTTTATAACCCATTATACTAATCATGATGTCATACATTTCTATTCAAATATCCAGAAATTTAATCTTATTTCTAAAAAGTTGAGGCTATACATGTGACTTTATGTTTCTTAGCATTTGGAATACATTTGCAATGAGCAAAATTAAAATATATGTAATAAACATTGAGAAATACTGTTAATTATACCACATTAGAGGGTCTCTAGTAGGATTACTAGCCAATTTTCTCAATACTATCATGTGGATATAAGCAATAGCAATATCCTTATCAAAAGATAAAAGATGAATATTTAAATAATAATCTTGCTTCAAGCCATACTGTTCATTGTTTATAGACTTAGAAATCTAAAGCTGCTTTTCTTTCTTGACAGCTATTTGTGTTTTACCTAAATGGAAGGGCAATAGCTTTGAGTTTTGTCCTCTACAGCTGTAACTTTTCAAAATTTGAAAGATAGTGGGAAACATAAGCTATAGGAAGATATTCAACCTTTTCAAGAGCTATTTGGACAAAGGATCAATCTATGGCTTCACAGATTTACAACATAACATTTAGCTTCAGGATAAATTATGTATTTTTCCCCAAACTTTGTGTGACATCATGGTGGGTTGCCATGATATCTAACCAAATGTCCTTATTTAATTTGCACTTACTGTGAGATATTATATTGAACACCCACTCCATCACTTATACAAGCATCAAATATATTAAATTGAAATTAAAATGAAACTTTGTTGAAGAAGTTCCTTTTGGTCATGCAAATTTTACTGTTACTTTTTGCTCATAATATTAGTTTTTGACTTATAAATATGACCTTTAAACTTCATCTTCATTTTATTTTAAGAAGTATATGAATCCACTGGGGCTGGTGCTCTGGCATAGCAGGTAAAGCCACTGCCTCCAGTGCCGGTATCCCATGTGGGTGCTAGTTCAGGTCCCGGCTACTCCACTTCTGATCCAGCTCTCTGCTATGGCCTGGGAAAGCAGTAGAGGATGGCCCAAGTCCTAGGACCTGTGCACCAGAGTGGGAGACCCGGAAGACTCTCTTGGCTCCTGTCTTCCGATCAACGCAGCTCCGGCTGCTGCGGCCAATTGGGGAGTGAACCAGAGGATGGAAGACCTCCCTCTCTCTGCCTCTCCTTCTCTGTGTAACTCTGACTTTCAAATAAACAAATAAATCTTTAAAAAACAAACAAACAAAAAGAAATATACGAATTCTGTTGGGCTGCGGTAGGACTCCAGGAGATGGGTCTCTGGTGTGCAGGCCATTGCGGGCTGCTCCAATGCTGGGGGCGTGGTGCCCCCATCCTTGGTGACCTTGAGGACTCTCAGAAGCTCAGGGGTCATGGCTCAGAGGCTGCAGACCCAGCCCTCCTCAGGTGTCGTCATGATCAATGGTTCTCCTTCGGCTTTGCAGAGAGTGGTGGTGAGGAACGGCTTTGGTGACAAACTTCGGCGCTGACGATTTCATGGAGTTTTGTTGAACTTGCAAACGAAACATTTGGATAGTGGATTAATGAGAACGCCGAAATTCTTTGGAAAGTTTCAAATTAGAGGATATGTACTTTTCACCCTAGGCCAGCAGCTCTGCTCACATAAATGCAGATAAATGAAGACCCCATTTGGAATGACACCTGGCCAGCAGTCCAGAGCTGATGCAGGCCATGCTGGAGTGTTTGCAAACAATGATGAAGCTGGACATCACAAAAAAAAAACAAAACAAAACAAAACAAAACAAAAACCACTGGAACAGTGTAGGGCCCAGCATCCCTGTTTCCCAGATCTCTGGTGGAACATTGTAGGATATAGGATGCAGGGTTCAGCATTGGTGGAAAGAGGGGAATGGCCCTGTCATCCAGTAGAGAGGAACCAGGTACCTGTGAATCCTTCTTTGTGTCTTATAAAATACAATGGATTTGACTATTTTTATGGACTAGAAGATGAGAGAGTTTCTGCACTTTTCCTCCTGATAGAGTTGCAACATCTCGAACCAGTGTTGCACACTGCAGACACACTGATTGGGAAACATTAAAGCATATGTTTGAGACTGAGGAGGACTCTAAAGATACGTGGAGGGGATGGTCGGAGCATGAACACCTGTTATGAACACATTCTTTTATGAGAAAGACCCTGTCCTGTACCTGTACCAGCTCCTCAATGATTACAAAGAAGAAAACCTTCACACCATGCCTGATTCTAATGGTTCACCTCCAGCAAGAAACAGGAGAAGTTGTGGGCAGCCTGGCAAGCAAACAAGTAGAATATGCCAAAGAAGATGGCTCAAAAAGGACTGACGTAGTCATTCATCAAGTAGAAGCCAAACCATCCATCTATTTCATCAAGTTTAATGATAATTTCCAAATTTATATCTATGATTCGGTGAAAACATCTTAGATGTCATCATGAACTTTGCCAAATTTGTGGAAATATTAAATGTATAATTTGTAGGAAAAAAGAAATATGCATTTTTTTGCTATGGGCTTTATAGGAGCTAAATAGATGAGAGGATACTGGATTACAATGATTTTCCCAATATTTTTGTCTTTGAACTGTATTTGTCTTTAAGTTGTAGGACATGAGAACAAAAAAGATAGTTAATGATTGGAAACAAGGAAAAATTTGAGGATGAAAGACAGTGTCAGAACCTGAAAACAAATCTGAGTTTTTAAAAAGTACATTATTACACACTGATAACTTATACCAATCCTATCACACCGACTGGACACAGTGTAAACTTTCTTTCTAAAGATAAGACACCGTGTGTTTATTTCTTGGAGGGATGGTGTTGGTAGTCCTGTGTAGTACTGAGCTGAGGGATCGCATGCTGGACAGAGGTTAAAATCAATTTTAAAAGTTAAATTATTAAAGTGAAAATCTGCTCTGTATTTTATGTGCTTTGTTTTTAAATATTAAATTTGGAATGTACTTAAAATAAGACATAACATCCAAGTGAAAGAAAATACTGGAAAGTTTTATTGGGTGTGCTCTTGGTGAGAAAGCCACAGAGAAATCATGATGGTCATCTTCTTATCTACAAGAAAGAATAGCACCTCCCCAGGAGGAAAGGGAACACTTTCTTCTAATAACCATATTCATGTATTCATTGTGTTACTCACCCCTCATTAATTCCCACCAGGATGTTCCCCTGAAGACTCCAGTCCATGAATCTTACTAGAGAGATAATTAATCTTAATATATGAACCATGAAGATTCCTGTCCTGGTCCATTTATTCACAGAAAGAAAATCTTCTAAGTCCTTTTTGTACCATGAGGTGTGAATATACTGTCACAGAATTAGTTCCTAGCCTCCTCAGCAGTCCTCCCTGCATCTGTTTCACCATTATTTGTGTGTGTGCATCATTTGTTTCCCCAAGCACTTGGGAAGAGTCATCAATAAATTGTTTCTGCCTGCCTCCACCCTACCCTTGGAGTCATGATGGTGTTAGGTATTTATAAGACAACACAAACTATGTAGAAGAGCACCCAGAAAATTCTTGCTAAGTTAGCTGACTTTGAAAATGATTTTTGTTCTTGAAATTGTCTGAGATTCATCTACTTTTGCAAAGCATCAAGTCCCAAAGAATGGGTAGACATTGCATTACATAAATAAAGAAGCTCTTGCAGAAAAATAAGTTACCCACACACATGTTTGCATGGGTTGCAACAATGTTTGCACCAAAATAAACATCTTTCAGTTCTATCTCCCACAGACTTTTGAAGTATCCTTGTAGTTAGATGGTTGTCTAAAAACATTAAACACACACACAGAGAAAGAATCAGGATTGAGCATAATTTTAAATCCCAGTGTTTGAAATCTGTAAAAATAAGCGCCTCTTTTATACAAGATTCTCATTCTTTAACACAAGTATTGTTTACAGATATTTTCACTCCATGCTTCTCCAGAAAGAGAAGCAAATGACATTAAGAGGGCACATGGTGCCTACAGGTTTTTATGAAAAGTAAAGTTACTGAAATTAAAATATATATATATATATACATTTTTAAAAACTCAGAGAAACTACATGCATTTAGATTTGTAATTGAGATATTTATCAAGATCTTTCTTATTTTTCATTTTAATGTAGTCTGTTTTCAGAGAAACTCAAGGTAATAACAAGAGCTAACTGTTCCCAGCTGGTATAGTACCCTATTTTCAAATACAGAGATACAGTGTCACTTGATTTCCATAACTGAAAATTGAAAGGATTTCCAATGGTGTGACTCTTCCCTACTAAATGAAATCCTGCATTCTGGAGACTAAACAACACCACTGTGTTGAATAAAATGGAGATTTTGATAAGAAAGCCTTCTCCAAAGTTGTCAGTCTAGGATCTGCAGGATCCCCCTTTGAAAAAAAAAAAATTACTTGTTTGACTGAGACAGAGACAGAGACAAAAAGATGGAGAAGGTCCCTTCTCCTGATTTACTCTTCAAGTGCCTGAAAAGTCAGTGTGACCAAAATCAGGCATTGGCAACTCATTCTGGATCTCCCACTTGGGTGATAGGGACCCAACTACTTGAACCGTCATCAGCTGCCTTCCAGAATCTGAATTAGCAGGAAGCTGAAATCAGGAGCCAGAAGGAGGAGTTGGCCCCAGGAACTGTGATGTGGGTCTCTGGGGTGGCCAAACAGCCACCCCCTGTAGGATCTTTGGATATGGAGATTATTTTTTAAAAACAATCACTGGATGGGGCCAGCATTGTGGTATAGCAGGTTAAGCCACCACCGGCAAAGCCGGAATCCTGTATGCTTACCAGATCCAGTCCCAGAGCCTTCACTTCTGATCCAGCTCCCTGCTAATGTACCTAGGAAAATAATGAACGGTGGTCCAAATGCTTGGGTACTTGAACCAAGGTGGGAGACCCAGATGAGGCTCCTGGTTCCTGGCTTCAGCCCAGCCTCGGCCTGGCCATTGCAGCCATTTGGGGAGTGAAACAGCAGATGGAAGACCAACCTCTCTCTGAATCTCTCCCTCTACCTCTTCCTCTCTATAACTCTGACATTCAAATAAATAAATAAATGAATATTTTCAAAAAGTCACCTGGAGTAGTGTCCAAATTTACTTCTGTAGTTATATCCATACCCTAAGATCTAAAGAAACAACATTCTACTTGGAGGTGAAAGCATGGACCACACGTTCACGAATCTGCCTGGTTCTCACACCATAGATAATAGGGTTGAGGGCAGGTGGAACGACCACATAGAGATTGGCAACAAGAATATGGACATAACGAGGGATATTTTTGCCAAATCGGTGAGTGAGGAAGGAAAAGAGGGAGGGTGTATAGAAAACGCACATAACCCCAACATGTGAGCCACATGTGCTCAGTGCCTTCTGCCGAGCATCTTGAGAAGGGAGGTGGAAAACAGCACGGAGAATATAGCCATAGGAGATTCCAACCAGCACCACATCCAAAATAAGGAAAGAAGCTACAAAAAGCCCATAAATGGCATTGATGCGAATGCTTGCACAAGCCAACTTGGCAATGCCCATGTGCTCACAGTAGGAGTGGGCAATTATTCTAGCTTCACAGAAAGGCAGACGATGGGTTAGGTACAGAATGGGCAACATGAGCAGGACTGGGCGCATTATAATACATACTCCAATGCCTGCCAAAACTCGGGAGGTCAGAATGGCTGTATAGCGGAGGGGTGCACAGATAGCCACATAGCGGTCAAAGGCCATTGCCAGTAGGACTGCAGACTCCATTCCAGTGAAAGTGTGTATCAGAAACATCTGGGCCACACAGGCTCCAAAACCAATCTCATGTGCATCAAACCAGAAGATACCCAACATACGAGGCACTGAGGATGTGGAGAGGGCTAGATCTATAGCTGATAAGATGGTCAGAAAGTAGAACATTGGATCCCGCAGAGCATGGTCAGACCAGATGACCAGTAGAATGGTAGCATTACCCAGCAGAGCCATCAAGTAAACAGAACAAAAGGGCAGGGAAATCCAGCCATGGGAAGCCTCAAGTCCCGGGATGCCTGTGAGATAGAAGGTGTCTGGGTGGAAAGTGGTCATGTTGGTGTGGATCATCTTGTCATTGATGAGAAGTTGATGTCTAAAAGAGAAATCAAGATTTATAAATGCTCAACCCAACATTAATCTTATCTGCATTTTTCTTACAAAAAAAAGAAAGCTTAAAGTTGAATCCAAGTCAGATAGACACACACTGAGCAGTCTCCTAGTTGGGGGAGAAACTGGCTTTGTGATGGGTCTGTCACTGAGGTTTTGGACAATATCATAGTAATTTGTTCAAATGCCATGCAAAATTTAGAAAGAATAAAAATAATCATGCGTACATTGAGATCTCAGTCTTCCTTGAAGACAAGGCATATTTAACTTGAATACATCAACTTATAAACTCAGAGACAGACACCAACTCTGGCACAAAGAACATAACAATATAATCAAATAGATGTACCTAGACATGTAGAAAGAGAAAATCAAGCAG